AATTCAGCGTAGGCAGTCAGGTTTGTCGTATGTCTGATGTAATCGTACGAGTCCCATAAAACCACGTCACCATTCGTAATCGGTAAGTAGTCTGAGTGTGAGTAATCCATCTTACAAACTGTGGAGGTCGAGGTCAAGCTAAGCATAAAGAGCAGAGGTCTAAAAATAGAAGGAAAKACAGAAGCAAAGAAGATCGTAAGACTTAAAAATATTTTATTCGACTATCGGAGATTATCCTTATGAACTATTCTACCTTTAACCCTGACCGTGGAACCCAGGTCCTCATGGACTATGCCCTCCACATATAAGGGGGTAAGTTTGTTTCCCAACTGTCTATTTGACTTAATGTGGACTGTTTCTCTAACGCCAAATGTTCTCGCTATCCTGTTTTTGTTATGAGTCCTTAACATTGCTTGTTGAGCCTTTTCTACCTTATTTTTTGCTTCTGTCCCACCTACCCGGGAATGAAAAACATCCTAGGGTTTTTCGCCAGTTACGGAGTGAATGCTCTTRTTGTATTGAATTGTGGTCAGTAAAATTAAGTCCACAGTATCTTCAATTACTTTTTCCAGTTTAAGGCATCTAGCTATTTCCCCATAGTGATATGAAATCTCTCCACCTGCCCATTAGAAGTACTATGCAGAGGAGGAGCATTCACAATTTCAATGTCGAAAAGGTCTCTAAGACACGATCTTATTGTATTTGAGTTTAATGATTTTTCATTATCGCCGAAAATAATTTTGGTTCCTGCGAACATATTGACCAGTTGCAGAATACGTGGMTTAATATCGATTATGGATCGTGAAGGGATTGGTTGCACAAGTAAGGAAATATGTGGCATTAGTACAGAATATGTCAATATGGAGAAATTCACCGGGAAAAGATGGAATGAGTGCTTTTCCTATGGGATGCTTTACTGGATGTCTGACATATTTAGCTTTAATGCAGACTTTACAGTTTTGGATTTGCGCCAGCAGAGGTAGCTCGCAGTGAATGCCGTTGACCACGTCGGATTTTACCACTTCCGATAGCATTTTAAACAAACTCTCATTATCAGGAAACGTGAGAAAATGGCGTAGCTTATTTCCAAAAATAACAAATGTCTTTTTGGCCGGATGTAAGCCAGATTCCAAAATTAGTTGGTTTTTATAGACATTTACTGGTTTTGAAACTGTTTCCACCGTAAGTAAGAGACTGTTCGCTATGAATAGTGGCAGCATCCGATTCAGGTTCTGGATCTAGTGCGTTTATAAACTGGCGTGATAAAGCATCAGCTACTAAATTATCTTTTCCTGGTTTATAGTGCAGTTTGGCATTATATCCTTCAATGAAAGCTTTCCA